AGTATTGACAAATGAATATACATTAATTTGGTTACATTTAGTTTTTTCAAATTTTTTTAAATTGATGCACTTTTGACCTATAGTTATTGCCCTTTAAATGGGTCTTTTTCCTTTCAGACACCGCGTGCTACACTACTACTACTACTACTACTACTACTACTACTACTACTACTACTACTACTACTACTACTACTACTACTACTACTACTACTACTATTACTACTACTACTACAAGAAGAAAAAGAAGAAGAAGAAGAAGAAGAAAAAGAAGAGCATCATCAACAACGACAGCAACAACAACAACAACAACAATAGCAATAGCAAAAGACAACAGAATAATCAAAAAATGAAATCAGTAAGAAACAAATACTGCGGGGAATATCAATGTGTGCTTCTTTGTTCTTGATTCTTAATGTTCTCAGAAAAACGTTCGTCTACAACGAAAAATCCCCAAGAACGCAGTGGCCACCAATGTGTTGATTGGGGAACTGACATGCCTGCGTCGACCTCTCATCGGGCTGGTTCGCCTATCACCGAGCCGCCATCTTGGATGGCTGTGCGAAGTTCGTCTGGCAACACAATTCATCTTTGTATGCCTGGCACCTGAGATCACCACAGACTTTGACGTCACAGAGATTGGAAGATGCGTGGGATCACTGATGACCGATCCGGTATGAATTATAGGTTAAGTGTCTGACTTTACATTTGATGCCAGTGAATACTGTGTAGGACGGCAATGTGTTGTCAAGTACTGGTTGGTCTAGATAGCAGATAGGAGGACGTTTTGAACGGTGTCATTATATCATAAAAACGCAAGGAGGAAAGGTAGAAGTGGTCGTTTGCACGGGTGTGTGTTTGTCTTGGACAGGTGGACGTTAAAGTAGGCTCGACTGTAATTTGTGCACTTCGAAGTCGAGTACATTTTTTAAAAATAAGTAGACAAACACATAATATTTTCGTATAGATTAATGTGTTAGGCTTTTAAAAATTTCTTGCCCCCTTTTCTCTTTCAGGAACCTGACTATTTTCCCTTTTAAGAACAGTCACACCTTTTAAGGAGTACCTTCAAAACCTGTACCTTATTTCGTTGTATTTTTTGAGTCACATATCTCATTTTGTTCGAATGATTTTTTATGTCACCATCGACAAAATTGTAATCATATAGGGGGTGTGCTTTGATGATGAGTGTCAGTGCTAACTAGGACAGAGAGGGAAACACAAACCCAGCAGATGGACCGAGATATACGTACTCGCTATTAATCTCCCCGATCGGGAATCAATCTGGGGCCGGGGGCTCTCGTGGCCTATAGGTTAAGATGATCGCCTCTCATTCAATAGGTCCCGGATTCGAATCCGCATAGAGATGGAAAATGTTCTCTTAAAAAGGTTGTCTCCTCCCACCTCCTTTCCTGCTCCCTAGCAATGTTCTGTAGTCTGCTTACGTCTCCACTTTCGGCCCCCCCCATCCCACCCATGTCACCTCCTTTGCCCCATCCTCTTGGCTCCTGACTCTTTCTTTGCAGCCTTTCTACTGCTACTCCTTGGCTCCTTCTTACTGCTTTCACTCAGCGACACCCCTGATCTTATGGTAGGATGGAGCTACACCTAGCCTTCTCGGACAAGGGTGAAAAATCTCGGAGGTCCCATCTGCAAATTGCGCACGTTGAAGATCCCTTGGTGGTCTAAAACCGATAAGAGTAAGCTTTGGCCGCCGCCGGGCAAAATTCAATAGCTTTTTCTGTAAAAGAGAGCATTTGAGTAGACCGAGTAGTCCTAGCGTTCACTAACGTTATACTGATGAGAAGTGGACATGGTTTTTTTTTCGAATCTGCTATGAATACAGTAACGTTGGTAGACATATCATTATACATTTAGCGCTTGAGTGAATAATGGAATCTATTGAACCGGCAAGGAGATGGGTTGATGAAAGAATCCTTGTATGCGTTTTATGCGTGTCTTTGTTGGCGAATTAGGGTGGTGGTGAGATAGAAGTAGGGTTGGGTGATTGGAGGGGAGTAAAGCCGAAGCACAGGTGTCACCTGCACCGTTGTTTGTAAGTGTTACTGAATTTGTATACGACTGCACTTCTACTGATATATATGTATGTATCTTGCGTGCAGACAGTACCTTAATACGATTTACTTGTTTCGCATTATTACTATGTTTTGGATCGCGTAGTTCCAAAACGGTTCAGTCGGTCGTGCGGTGAGCTAGACTAAGTTATCAAAGGTTTCATTACTTTGGTAACTTTCAGTTGGAAAAAAAACACGTTCCAATCTATACTGATTATAACGTTGCAGCTATACTAGTAAACACTAGACGTTCCTCTGTGATGTTAGTTTTACACAGAGCACATGGCAGGTTAAATCATCAGTTGATTGTTAAAGAATGAATTTTAATTTCTTCTTTTTAACTTGAAACGTGAAGCTTAAAACGAAGAGTTGTTCGTCCAATGCAGGTTGTAGCTCTCTTGGGACATCCACTTAACTTTATCAGTTGTTCTCCGTATCTGGGTTGTAACCGTCTGCTCTCTGATGGCATCCTGCTGCCTTCTTTCAGGTCTTCCCATTGATCATTTTCCTGTTCTTGATGTCCATTTAGTGCATTTTGTTCTTATGTTAAGCTTCATTCTATCGATGTAACCAGTCCATTTCCTATTTTCGAAGTATAAATTTGGGGATATCTCTCGCTTAGAATGTACAAGTTAAACTTTGATCCTAGTGTACTTGTAGCTTCGATGGTAAATTCGTTAGGTTGTTCGGCTTGCAACCGAAGGGTTGTGGGTTCAAACCAAGTCAGGAGCCAACGTTGTGTCTTCCCAAGAATTTCCTTCAGCCTCAACCAGGTGGAAATGAATACTGGGCTACAAACAGCGCCCTGTACAGTATGCTATTTGGACTAATAGTGTTGAAAATAAGAACATTATGGTCACACAGCCCTTATGTTTTAGACCACCCTGGTATATATCATGTTCTGTTGTCCCTAGATCTTTCGAGAACTGGCCGACCATTGCAGTACCAGGTTCGAGATCCTGGCTGGTCTGACAGAGTTCACTAACCACTTAACTGCTCTTCCGTCGGGAGTCTGGGATGCCAAGACTCGCATAGAACCACCTGCCAAGGTGCCGCCTCAGGTAACACATATTTATGGTTTTGTCAGTTGTTATTATTGAACTCATAATAGCACAAATATTCATGTTTGGAATATTGATAACATACCATCAACTACCGTGGAACACGAGGGAGTTCATTATGAAACTCTAGGATTTCCATGGAAAGCATTGTTTAATGCTTTTAAGGTTTGTGTCAGTTATTTAACTTCTGACGAAGACCAGTGCTAGTTATCAAATAGTTAGACCCTTTGCAGTTGCACGGAGAAGAGATGAGCTGGACTCCTATATGTGGACATCACTTTAGCGAGTATCCCCATTCGTGCGCTTGGAAACGTCATTTGATTCAACCCGTGTTTACTTTTACAGGTAAGGCCAAAGCAACGGGCTCCTAAATTGTCTAAAATTGTATTGAATGTGGAGTAAAAAAAAAAAATCACAACAAAAACTGCCAGAAAACGTAGTACGAGATAGAATTATGATATTGTTTAAAGGATTGCCAGGAACAGGGAGACCACCACAGTTCTGCCGTTTTCTCAAATCAATGTTCAATAGTTTTACATTTCATTGTTCCAAACCTGCTGTCCTAAAATAGCAGTAATACAAGTGTGGTTATTTTATTACTAGATTCCTGTTTATAGTTAATTGCTCATAAGGCCGTCATCGACTGTCACTCATTCTTCAGACTTGTAAATCTACAGAGCGTGCTTTTTAAACATGTAGAGGCAGACAACATGTACGCAGAATAATATTTCGTGTATCCTTATACTGTGGCGGAAAAATGCGTTGCAATATTAATAAGCGTTCTGAACACTGAAAAAGGTGTGGAAGACACAAATTAGGAGATACATAATCGATGTCTCTCTCACAAAGAGCGTTGTACCAGCCTCTTTTTCACAAACCTTTTCTTACACCCACATTCAAATTTGAGCCTACACATTGTATACTGCTTCGTATATCCAGAGTGCATTTTGAGCATTTTTGTCACATACTGCTTATTCCACCTAATGCACAATTTGACCCTATGACTGACACCTTTTTCTTACACTTTACACGCAATCCGAGCCTACTGAACACTATGTTAGCCTTTTCGTTGGATCATGTTTCTTACACTTAGAGCGTGACACTTTAAATTTTGCAAGTGTCGCGTTTCTAAAATTTACACCAAACATGTTGAAAACTAAAAAAAGAAATTATGTGATCGTCAGGACTTCCGTCGACCTACGAAAAGAATCCTGGAAGAGAAACGAGTGCATGTGGAGACGGAGATGCTTCATGAGGAGGAGATTGAAGGCTTGGAAAGAACTGGAAGGTAACTGTTGACCACTCTTTGAACACTATAATAATATCAAATGCAATGCCTTTTATATATTTTAAAGAGTGCTGCTTTTGGAAAAGCACAGCTACTTGTATTTTCAGTTGTTTTGTGCTTACAACTCAGACAGTAATTAAATCGAGCATTACACGCTGGAAAATGGCAACAAAGAAGTGAAATATGAAAAAGCGTTCTCATTGGCAAGTAAATTGTTAGACCATTGAGAATACAGAAGATTATTATGTGTTGTCAAAATACGAAAACTGTGATTGGTCAATGTCTACTCGATGTGTCCACAGGCTGTTCGGTGGTGTCATTGACGATGTGAAGAGAAAGTTGCCATGGTTCGCCAGCGACTTCAAAGACAGCCTGCACGTTCAGTGTTTAGCTTCTACTGTTTTCCTTTTCCTAGCCACTCTGACCCCAAACGTGACCTTTGGCGGGTTGCTTGGGCAAGAAACAGATCAGTACATGGCAAGTTTTTACTTTTTATTTATCCTTTTTTAATCCAGCATTTCCAAGAACTGTGAAACTCACTTTGCAAAATTTCCATTGAAGATCAATTGTCAAATATTATTCTCATGGTTTGGTCTTCAGTGATATCTCCAAAAAAGAATTATAAAAATCCTTCAAGAACATATAGAAGCGAGGAGATAATCTGTTTAGTCACACAAGGCAAATACAAACTTCCTCTACGTGTCCAAAAGTCAAACCTCTCATTATTGTGGGGAACTGTATAACTTACGCCCTGACAATATTGTAAGGCTATAAGAGGCAAAGCCCCCAAATTTAGTATCCAACTCCAATAGGAGTATGCCAAATGGGAACATTTGTCTTAAGTGCTTTCCCCAAGTACACAACGTCGGACCAACCACTGGACTGTCAACACAATTTTTATTTCATTAATTTTAGGCCATTTTGAAAACAAAACGGATTTTATTTTGTTTACGCAAATGTCAATATTTTTATCCATAAATGACATTTACAATTTCATTATTTTCCGTTCATATTGAGAATCTTCACACTGAATCATGAAGCAAGATGCGTGTATGTGTCAGGCACGGTTGGAAACCCGTCTCCTAAAATACCTAAATTTTGTTAACAGGAGGGGGGGGGGGGTGTACAAAACATCTACACTTAAAGACAGAATAAGAAGGTAATTTAAAAAATGAGTGGCACTTACAAGCTAATCCATGAACGCTCTCCTTCCCAGGGTACCATGGAGTGTATCCTTGCAGCTGCTCTGTCGGGTGTTGTATTTGCCCTGTTTGCTGGACAGCCACTGAACATTCTCGGTTCCACAGGACCCATGCTTGTTCTAGAGACCATTATATTTGACTTCTGCAAGTAAGACATCATGGTTATCATCTGAACAATGTTACAAAGTAATTTTGTTCTCTTGTTTTGTTGTGGATGTAGTCCATCTTGTTTTGATGCTTTGTTTCACTTTTGACTTTTTGTTACTGTCGTTGTTATTATTGTTATTGTTTTCTGCTGTATTTGCTTTTGCGTGCGCCGGCGTGTGTGTGTGTGTGTGTGTGTGTGTGTGTGTGTGTGTGTGTGTGTGTGTGTGTGTGTGTGTGTGTGTGTGTGTGTGTGTGTGTGTGTGTGTGTGTGTGTGTCTTTATGTCAATTATAATTTGTCAACCCTCCCCCCCCCAAAAAAAATGTATATAATATATAAAGCGCCGTACTCTGTCCGCGGACCTTGGTTAGGTTCAGTCGTTTTACTACTCCACCCTCTCTCTCTCTCTCTCTCTCTCTCTCTCTCTCTCTCTCTCTCTCTCTCTCTCTCTCTCTCTCTCTCTCTCTCTTTCTCTAGCAGCTCTCATTCTCTCTCTCCCTCCCCCCCTCTCTCTCTTTTTCTCTCTCTTCTCCCTCCTCTCTCCCTTCCTCCCTCTCTCTATCTACCTCTCTCTTTGTGGCTATTGTAGCCTAGTAGGTAGGCTACTGGACCCGTAATCAAGAGATTGCGAGTTTGGGGGATCGAGCCTCAGCTCGGCCCGACATTGTGTCCTTGGGAAATGAACTTAATACAAATTTGGCTCTTTCCTTTCGGAGATGGACGTTAAATTCGGAGTTCTTCCTCTTAAATAACTTAATAGTGTTGGTACAGGCGTTACTCATGTACCAAATCACCATATCTCACAAAGCGAGTGTAAAGCATTTTGTTTTCCTAGACAGATCAAATTAAAAATGTCCCTTTTGGAATTCGAACAGGTGTATTGTGTACATACTCTGGCTCGTTACCCTCTGACCTAACCTGGCGTCCACAGATTATGCAATGGTTTCAGGCAAAGACATACTAGCTCCCAAAGAGCCTATGCCACAGGAACGGCTAAGAACTCTTTAATCATACTACATATAACTACGAATACGTCAACGGACATTCGGCATTGATGTTTCATGCATTCCCCTTCATTCAATTCTTTTTTACACTCTTTAGATTATATGTTTGACCCTGCTAAGCAAAAATATGAAAAATATTGTTTTCTAAAATTTCGGAGCCTATTTGTGCCTGACACTACCGTTAAATTATTGTTTATCCAAACACTTATACCATGAATATTAATGCTTCTTTAAGCATTGATCAGTTATACAGGGGATCTGACAACCCTTTCGCCCACGACTTTGTTAGGGTTAATCGGTACTAAATGCCTGAAAGCCCGGTAAGCCTTGGTTGAAAATAAAATGCAAAAAGGATCTAGACTTGGTTAAATCCGGGGACCATGGTCATCGCGGGAAACTGCCCCTTGTCCCCACCCAAGACGCACACTAATACTCACACACATGCACACGAACAACTCACTCACACACACACACACACACACACACACACACACACACACACACACACACACACACACACACACACATACATACACTCAAACTCATTATTTTCCAACGAACCTCTCATCTTACTTTATGGGAGCAAACTTTTGTTACTGCTATTTATATCTCACAGGGACCAGAACTGGGATTTTCTGCCCTTTCGAGTCTGGATAGGAATCTGGACAACGTCCATCTTGCTGCTGATAGTTGCCTTTGACCTTTCGGCCTTGACACGTTTCATCACACGTTTTACAGAAGAATGCTTTGCGTGCCTTATTGCAATCATATTTATCTATGAGGCTTTTGCTAAGGTGAGTTTTAACGATCCTGTAGACGTCGATCTTGACACCTTAGGCCCTACATTAATACTTTCTTCTCTGAATCTATATAGATCTACGTATGCTACGTACCTATCTATCTATCTATCTATCTATCTATCTATCTATCTATCTATCTATCTATCTATCCATCTCTCTATCTATCTATTTATCTAACTTTACGAATATAGACAGACCCGTCTTAATTAATCTTTAAAAGAATCCTTATTGGAGGCCACTTAAGAAATAATATTCACTACACCATTCAAATATCTTTTAACAGTTCCACTTTTTTGCAAAGGAAATTAACACAAAAATGTCCATTTGACCCCGCAGGTCATTAAAATCAACTCAAAATACCCGGCACATCTGGGTGGAAGTGACCTCCCAGCCTGCCCAGCAGACGACACAACAGACGGTATGGCGACCACGTCACAAATCGTTGAGCTCCTCAACCTCACCACAACCGCATCCCCAGGAATAAATACGTCATCGCTTTTGAACGCCACCGACGTCACGACTATGGCCCCTTTTACCAGCACAGCAGCAGCTAATCTCAGCTCTGTATTGGTTACTCTGGCTGCCAACACGAGCTCGGAAATGGGCCTTAATGGCTCAAATATGACGACCATTACAACTCCGGCCCCCTTTGCTTGCAAGGAGTACAAACCAGATGTATTCTTCTTGTCCATCCTTGAATTTCTCTTCACATTTGTTATTGCTTACTCTCTGGTCAAGTTCAGGAATAGTATTTTCTTTCCAAATGTGGTAAGTGGATAGATAGATAGATAGATAGATAGATAGATAGATAGATAGATAGATAGATAGATAGATAGTATCTTCATCCGCACCTGTACTTCTTTATTAGTAATCAATTTTTGTTGACTAAAATCAAAACCAAACTTCTAAAAAAATTGTAAAAAGCGAAAACACAACAACAAACCAACGCATTCCATTAAAAACGTCATATTACTACGAAGAACCAAACAAAACCCGAGAAGCATCCTGATTTGTCTGGGTGTCTACTACTATTTAATACGACTATAAATTAATCGCTCTATCTTATTAGGCGTTCCATCCGCGGGGAGAAATATTCATTGTTTTGGCCCTTCAGCCACAGCGGTTATGTTCTCACAGAATGAAAATGACTGGGCTTATTGACCTGATATGGTTCAAGGCCAAGACAAAGGAACGTATGGCTCTATTAGGCTCGGAAATCAACGTTCAACCAAAAGTCATTGACAAAAATGGTCACTTTTAAGAACAAGGGCGGTATCCCGAAAAATGCTGTTTTGAGAAAATCAAAGTTAAAGTTTTTGGACCCTTCTTCGGTTTCTTTAAAAGACAAGGAGAGTTTTCTCTATAACCATATAAGTATACACACCAATGAAACCAAACTTCTCCTATTGGTAGGGCAATGCCCATTTTTAGTGTAGGTCAAGATTTCTGAAAACAACGGAAATCAGGGTTAGCCCGCTTGTCTTTAAAAGCGACCAAATTTGCTTAGCAAAAAGACCGAAGGACACAAATCATCATATTATACATGTATTTACCTGCTGTACGTCGACTTTCTTTGTTTCAAACGTGAGATTGTCATTAACAATGTTATCGTACTTTTACTGTACATTTATTTATGATTTCACGTTGTCTTGTGTCTATCATTACATACCCATTATAATTTGAGGGGTCTCATGTTCGGTCACTACAAAACCGACCCTCTTTACAATCCACCAGATGCCACTTATAGATAGATAGATAGATAGATAGATAGATAGATAGATAGATAGATAGATAGATAGACAGATAGATAGACAGATAGACAGATATATAGATAGATAGGTAGGTAGGTAGGTTGGTAGTAGGTAAGTTGGTGGATAGGTAGGTAGGTAGGTAGGTATATATGTATAACAAACTTTGTTGACTAAAAAACACGCCTGCATTGAATGAGCTTTTAAGATCACACTACGCATGTCTAGACTGCAGGCAGTATAAAAATGCTTGTACAATTTCAGAACTAGGTTGTAAAACATAATATTTCGTTGATGGTCACGATTACCTATACACTAGAACAAATAGATTACGCTCAAGTCTGCAAATGTGAGTTGGTTGTTGCAACTGCATATGCACAAAAACAAAAGCATTACGTAAAACACTGAGAGTGAATCGAGCAATAGAGTAACGACCATCATAACAACTTACAGACTAAATTTGGAATGCTATAAATCAAGCAGTTTCCTCATTCACAGATGACAACTAGGAATGTCGAGTCTCATCAGTAGAAAAGTTTTCGTAACATTGTAGACCCAAGTTAGAAAACAGATGTATTTGTTCATTACATACACACCTACAAATAAACATATTATACATTTGTATATTAAGCTCAACACTGAGAGTGTAAAGACCAGCATAGTACGATGAACATAAAGACTTATGAATAACATATAAAATAATTATGTCTTTCCTCTGATCTCTTCCTTAGGTCAGGCGCATGTTCAGTGACTTCGGTGTCCTCCTCGCCATACTCATCGTGGTGGGCGTGGACGTTTTGCTCGGGGTGGACACGCCTAAACTGGAGGTCCCAGAGGAGTTCAGGGTAAGTCCGGACCAGTGAAACGCCGAACCGTGGTCAGCTGTTAAAATGTATTAAAACCAACATTTTTGAAAATATTTTCATTGCAGTCTTTCTGCAGTATTAGTTGCATGTGCTCAAGAAATATTTAGTCAAAATTTATATTCTAAACACTCAGAAAAAACCCCAAGACAAAACTGGATACTATAGGTAACTTGTTAAAACAATAACGGTTTTTTAAAATCCTATAAACCTTTACTTTCTGGGCTTAGTAGCTTGCCTATGGTACGAAGTGTAGTGGTTAGTTGCTTTGACTTCGCACCGCAGAAGATCCGAATTTGATTCTCGTGTGGAATGGATTTACATTGAGTACCTTGGCTGTTCTGCTTTATCTCTGAACCTGGGTTGGCCCACCACCAAACTAATCTGAACTATGCCGATGAGAGCGTAAAGAACACGTGCATTATTTAAAAGGTCCAGTAAGCCCATTAAGCCATTTGGATTTTTACTTTATTAAAAAATGGTTATGAGGTTTTTTGCACTCTTCTACTATATGCCTTTTCGGAAACGTTGTTTTGACTCTGTGGTGAAAGTAAAGAGAATTAAAGAAGAATGGATAGCGGAGATGGGCGATTCATCTTCGGTAAGTACTACTTTTTATTTTCATAAGCCTCGAAACACGGGAAATATCGTGCCAAGGTTCTTTCTGGTTACATTTTTTTTTTGGGGGGGGGGGGGGTGGGAGACAGCTCTGAGCTTTTCTGAAGAAATGAGAAGACAGAAAAGCATTGCTTTGCTTACCACGAGAATTATTGTCACGTACCCTGAACTTTAAGCATCAAAAGGTATTCCTCAGCAGTTCCCTACTGTTGCCTATGCCCCATGTAGCGCTGAATCTCGTGAAGCGTCTCTGGATGCAAATAAACATCATCGATATTGCTGAAAAGCGGTACTCTGTACTTAAACTAAAACTGCTACATTTCCTGGAAAGCTCTTTAGACAAAATACTACTACTACTACTACAACTACTACTACTACAACTACTACTACTACAACTATTACTACTACGACCACTACTACTACTACTACTACTACTACTACTACTACTACTACTACTACTACTACTATAATATCCTGAAAAATAGTTTTATTGGCAACAATTTACGTGACGAAATATCTTACAGGATCATGCTTAATAGATCCATAACATCTCAAGTGAAAGGCCCACATATTATTATTCGGCTTCTACTTGGCATGAGAGCTTACCGTTAATGTTAGAGTGGTCGCATGTTTTGCTCACTCACAATTTTTTGTCGAGGTGTCATCATGGATTTTAGAAGAGATATAACCATAGTTTAGGCTTAGAACAACTTCCAAAGGTGAAAACCCGTTGTGAACTGCTATTGATAAAGAATGAGAAGATTAGATTAGTTGTTTCGGAACTCGAAATTTTTTTTGAGTGGAATGGTTGATACTGTCCAGGCAGAACAAACTCATAAGGCTCCAAAGGATGTGCATTTCATTCTGACTCTTTACTATTGTCATATTTAGTCTATCTTTTTGTTTCAGCTCTTTGTTTTACTTTACTTATTTGTTGTGTCTGTGAGTGAGTGAGTGAGTGAGTGAGTGAGTGAGTGAGTGTGTGTGTGTGTGTGTGTGTGTGTGTGTGTGTGTGTGTGTGTGTGTTGTGGGTGGGTGTGTTTTCAAAAGAAACAGGATGAATATAATAATAATAAATAACATTTATACAGCTATATAGCTGCTCGTCAGCAAGCTCTCTAAGCTTTACACTATATTATTACCCCAGCAGATCATAAAACGCTCAGATGCATTCTCAGCCTCAAGGAAAGCATTATATTTTATGGTGCAATCAGCTTATTTAGAGCTCAAACACAAACAAACTGACAATTTCTTCAGATGGGGACCCATTCCCACCTGGGTTAAGTGAAGAAAATTCGTGTACAGTGTCTTTCCCAAGAACATAACGTCGGGACCCTGACGGGATTTGAACCCTCGACCTTACGGTTGCGAGTCTGAGAGCCTAACCACTAGGCCACATATTACAATATGTCAACCCAAACATTTACTTTGTTGTCATATTTTGTTGTTCTTATCCAAATACCTTTCTTATGTTCCGTGTTTTAACCCCCCCCCCCCCCATTGCACCTCCCTTTCCCCCCCTCTCTCTCTATCTATCTCTCTCTCTCTCTCTCTCTCTCTCTCTCTCTCTCTCTCTCTCTCTCTCTCTCTCTCTCTCCGAGGAAATTGAGGAGTAACAAAGTACGTTAAGAAAGATTTAAAGAAGCGACAGCGGCAAAATCCAAATTCCAAATGGTCTCTCACTCCTGCAGCCAACCCGATTGGACAGACCCTGGTTCATCGGGCCGATGTCAGACAAGAACCCCTGGTGGCTGTGTCTTGCCGCGGCAGTCCCGGCCACTTTGGCTACCATTCTGATCTTCATGGACCAACAGATCACAGCAGTCATCGTGAACAGGAAAGAGCATAAACTGAAGGTATTTTGTTTTGTTGTTGTTTTTGCTGTTGTTGTTGTTGTTGTAGTAGAGTTGTTAATGTTGTTGTTTGTCTTTGTTGTTGTTGTTGTTCTTATTGCTGTTGTTGTTGTTTTTGTTGTTGTTGTAGCTGTTGCTGTTGCTGTTGTTGTTGTTGTTGTTGTAGCTGTTGCTGTTGCTGTTTTTATTGTTGCTCCTGTGTTTAAAATTGTTGTTGCCATTGTTGGTGATGTTGGTGGGTTTTGCTGTGGCTGTAGTTATTGCTCTTATTGCGATGTTCTTAAAGTTATGATCTTTGTTATATGATTTGTTGTTCATAATTCGTTAGAACCTATATATTATAGGCTAATTATGCAATTCAAATTGATTACTCCAGTTTTGTACAATATGTAAATTTTGTCTCCAGAAAGGCTTTGGCTACCACCTTGATCTGCTGGTGTTGGCTATTCTCATTCTGGTGATGTCCGTGCTTGGCCTACCCTGGTATGTGGCCGCTACCGTCTCTGCCCTCGCTCACGTCATGAGTCTGAAGGTGAGTACGAAATGATGTTTGAGGGGAGGTACTTCATGACATCATGGGTTTATCGATTAGACAAGTACATGTCAACCTTTGTGTAACCAGGGCCTACTATTGCCTACCGTGGGACGTTGAAATATTCGTACCGTCCGCGTATATAATACCTCTCACTAAGCGGTGATCCTACAAGGTTAGTAAGCACTGAATTAGCCCAACCTGAGACGTACTGGGTATATCTCTAAATGTCTCATGACGTCTATTATCAACATGTTGACCACCAAATGTTCTCTTTCATCCAGGTTGAGTCTGACTGCACAGCCCCGGGAGAGAAGCCAGAGTTCCTTGGTGTCAGGGAACAAAGAGTTACTGCCCTTCTCGTTGGAATTCTTAGCGGGTTGTCGGTCTTGCTGACCAGTGTTTTGAAGGTAAGTGCATAAATTAGTGTTTGAGTACAGCACGTCGTCGCAATAACGGCCATTTTAATCTAGTGAGGGGAAACGCAATACAAATCGATAGAAACAACAGAGTCACGGAAGAAAAATGTTCTACCTACCAATGACGCCCTCCAACCACCCACTACGTTGTGTTTAACGCTGTTTAGCACAAAATGAACTTTGCTACAACGTTGGAAATGTTACAATTTTGTGTATTTTCTCCCATTTAGTTCCAGGCTTACTGTAAGAGTCAGATGGGAGAATGTGTGTAAGACTGCGCCATTCGTGTGACTTACACTGACCTGCCGAAATGTTGGGTACTCTTGATGTCTTTTCGAAGCAGGGGCGAAGTGTCTATATAATCAAATAATCACTGCTTCCCTTCCTAATTTTGAAACATTGTCGCTGTCAAATTCATCCCTAAACGTAAACCTCTTAAATTAAATGTAAAAAGACGTTCGTAATAAACAATGAACAGTATGCCTAACATTCAAAACGGTTTCACGGCCACAGAAATATCCTCCTCACCCCTCTCGGGCCACTCCATAAGCAGTCGCAAGCTTTGATTAAGTAAGCTTAAAGTGAGGCTGGAAGAGTCTACCAATAGAGTTGAAGGGAACATGTGCATAGCAGTCAAAGCTGTTTCATTACCACATATACCCTGTTCACCCCTTTGGGGCCACAGTTAAAATCAATCACAAGCCCTGATTATGTAAGTTAACTAACACTGGTCGAGTCTACCTCACAAATGTGAGGGGAACTAACTCCTAATAATCTCTTGACTGCTTCAAATGCTTGTTTTTTTCCCTCGACTTTTTACTGTCCTATAATCAGATCGTGACCTCGATTATGACACCAGCTCCTGGCCGCGAAAGGCTAACAAAAACAGCCAAATGTGAAATTCAAAAAATGATAATTGTCATGTTCTACCAAAGAGTTAGACTCACTGGTAGATCTATAACATATAGATCTAGTACTGACATCTCTGCTTATTTGCTTTGTGTTTATGTATTCACATCTTAAGTTAAATTTAATTTTAGTTGGAACTGATATTTAATAAGATACTTTCCCGATTATTTTGGCGGTTGAACATACAATATGAATTCCGGATTTTTTTTCATTCACAACTCAGAGTCGCCGCCTCGAGTAAGATTCTTGTGTGATATCTACAGGCCATATCTGATCCCGTTTCACTTTGATTACCCTGTCAAACAAGTCAGCCTTCGCCCCTGTTTCGAAGAGTTGTAAGCGCGATTAAATGTTTAAAGCAAGGTTGTGGTGCGTGTAACTAAGGGTTTAATCTGCAGTGGAGCGATTATTGTAAGTTTTAGAACTTCTTTTTTTTGGAGAGTTTCCGTAACTCGATTCTTGCTACTGGATCTGAATATTACGTCGGAGTTTCCACCTTACATATTACATCATTGTTTTGAAAACGACATTGACGCCAATACCATGCTTTTCTACTATAATTTTAAGTTTCTACATTCTTTTAACGTATTGTATCTGAAAGTTGCATCTTTCTTTAAAAGTTGGATTATATTATGAATGAACAAGCAAACTCCAAAGCAGTATTTTCGTTTTCTAACAGGCAAACTATAAGCATAATTTCTTTCAACACCATGTGTCCACCATCGGTGACTATATCTCCACTTGTTCCGGGATGGTCATACTTACAGTACTCCATTATCTTTTTGTGCGTCCTTCGCTTTAAAATCCGTTTACCTTTTCTTTAGACAGATTTTTTTCTAAACTGTGGTGCTCATTCAAGAGATCAAAGTATTATTTTTCTCCATGCGTTTGTATGAATATATCAGATGTTTACATGAACAGTTCTCACTCTTTATTTCTCAGTTCATTCCTCTTCCTGTACTTTACGGAGTCTTCCTTTTCATGGGTGTTCGTGCCCTCAGCGGTATGCAGGTAGGACCTTCATGATACATTCGTGCACAGTCTAAAATGTGACAATATTCTGTTTTGCATAGGCTGTTCTAATGCGATGCTTTCTTACATTTACGCTATGTACCGATATAATCAGAAAAGTAGGCCATAGTCAGAAGCCAATGTCTAGTTACGACAACCAGAAAAAAGTTGTTTGATTTAATTTTATTCAGTTGAGTCATGACACCTTTACAAAGTCTGCATTTTGTTTGCTGCCAAATTTACTATTAAAATAATGAAAAGAGGGGTTTGACCCTTTGGCTGAGAGGTTTATGAAATGGGGATCAGAAAACATTTTAAGATTTTAAGCATTGTTGACATGGTGTTCGGTGGGTGGTCACTAGAACAAAGAGGGTTCTGCATGGGAGCGCCCAGCAATGGTGTTTGTATGACTTTGTGAGATCTTGTATAATACTATGTTCCGTGACGATTGCACATTGCACTAACAATTGGGTACCATTTTTCACCACAAAAATCAGCACATGTTTATTTTCTTTGATTATCTTTCTGTTTTGTCAGTCTCATTTACTCTCGGTTGCAGCTCATACTCACATATACGTAGTCAAACAAACAATCACTCACTCGCTTCTGTCTCATTTACTCTCGTCTTCAGCTCGTTGACAGGTTCCTTCTGTACCTGATCAGTCCCAAGTACCAGCCAGACCACGCCTACCTTAGGCACGTGCAGCTCACTCGTGTGCACATCTTCACACTTATACAGATCATGTGTCTGGCCGGACTCTGGATCATCAAGTCTTTCAAAGAAACATCCATCGCTTTCCCTATCATGGTGAGTGAGATAGACATAATACAATGGGTTTTTAAAAAAGTATTTCTAGTTTTAGTAAGAGTTCTATGGCATTTGTAACACAATAAGGTCTTATACGTGCCGAAGATTAGAGGTGTTACAAGTGAGTAACAAACACAAAGAGAAGAAGGAGAGATCAGAACTATACATGTTTGATAGGGAGGAAGGAGCAAACCACACCAATAGATTTGAATTAGATAGAATCTTTCATGGCATTGTTGTTGTCTTTGTTATGTGGATGCTGTTGCTGTCACTTGTACTGATGTTGTATTCTGCTGTTGTTGTTGCTGAGGATGATGATGGTAATGTTCTTTTTCTTGTCGTTGTTACTGTTGCTGTTGCATTTTATGCTGCTGAAGTCAAACGCCCTACTAGGCATAATGTAGATCATTTTCAAGGCAGGGGACGTGACACTTGACACCCCGAAAGAATACTGGGCCGAAAGGAAATTTACCTTAGGAAAATAATATGGGGAAATGATACATTCCATAACCGATCCGGAACGTTCAACTAAAAGGACAATGTTGTAGATAACTCGTAATTGTGTGATCTGCCACCCTTCTCCCGCAGGATTGTTAAACGTGCTATTGCACACTGTTTGGAGATTATTGGATCCTACATTTTAAAAAAGCCTTATTGTGTACATAGCGGGTCTAAAAATAAGAGAATCTCTCTCTCTCTCTCTCTCTCTCTCTCTCTCTCTCTCTCTCTCTCTCTCT